TATGTGTATATGTGTATGTATATATGTGTGAATGTGTGTATATGTGTATATGTGTGAATATGTGTGTATGTGTGAATATGTGTATATGTGTATATATATGTGTGTGTATATGTGTCTGTATATGTGTGTGTATATGTGTCTGTGTATATGTGTGTGTATATGTGTCTGTATATATGTGTGTGTATATATATGTATGTGTGTGTATATATATATACTGTATGTGTGTGTGTATATACAGTGGGTACGGAAAGTATTCAGACCCCTTTAAATTTTTAACTCTTTGCTTCATTGCAGCCATTTGCTAAAATCAAAAAAGTTCATTTTATTTCTCATTAATGTACACTCGGCACCCCATCTTGACAGAAAAAAACAGAAATGTAGAAATTTTTGCAAATTTATTAAAAAAGAAAAACTGAAATATCACAGCAATATCTATTTTTTTTTTTTGTGATTTAAAAATGAAGGAGAATTAAGAATAAAAAAAAGGAAAGAATTGTTGGCAAAACCACTTATAGAAAACCAGCCAACCCACAATTCATCAAATTCAAAGCACTTAAATGTAAAGATTTGTTTCAAATCTTACGTGCGGAGCCAAAAAAAAAATCAATTCTTACTAAACTCGTCATGATCTGAAAGGAAGTGGTATCATTTTCAAAAAAGATTTTTTTAAACAACACATTGACTGGATATGAGATGGATGTTCTGAAGGGAAGTGGCATCGTAGTCGGGCGAGGACCAGGATTTCACGGTTGAATTGTTTTGTCTTTTCATTCTGATTGAATCATTCTTCTTTTGAATGTTTCATTGATCGTGTTGATCTATTTGCCCCATGCCAAAGAGAATGTGATGTAAGGAATGGACACACAGAAAGCAGCAGTTGGTGAAGCGATGCATGCGATGAGATGATGCCGTTTCTTGAGGGAACTTGCTTTCTTCCTGCCCTTCGTGTCACATGTTTCATTCTCTTGCTCCGTCTCTCTTCTTCCTCCTCCATCTCAACAAGGTGGCCGGCGTAGTGGGTCGAGCAGATCTGCTGTGCGCTCTGTTCTTCCAGCTCTCTTTCCTCACCTACTGCAAAGCTTTCAACAGAGGTAGGTACCTTGTTTATGTGCAACTGTAACACAGTACTGTGATGTATATAGTGGCAGCATCAAACCTCCTGGAGCCGCTTGTTAATTATTTTAACCGGCTTGGTCTCTGCTTTGTGTTTCCCAGGGAGTGACAGAGATGACAGCTTTTCTGTCCGGTGGGTTGTGGTCAGCCTCTTGCTGTGTGCCGCCGCGATGCTCTGCAAAGAACAAGGCATCACAGTGTTGGTAAGAAGTCTTTTCTTTTCTTCTGTTGTGATGCTTTCATCACATCCAGTGAAAACAATGTCAAAAGCAAGAGCTCACACGCCATAAATGCTCACATGTTAACAATTTATAAAGACACGCCAATTAACATGATCTCTTTTTCTGTTCTCACGTCGGGGGAAAAAACCCCTCAAAGTGTCATGTTCCTCTTACTGTATGATGGGAGCCAAAGATCCATTTAGTTACTGACCTATATGCATTTTAAATGCCATTCCTCCCTCTTCCTCTGTGCATTTTCCTTCAGGGTGTGAACGCAGCCTTTGATGTCCTCCTGATCTGTAATGTTAATGTGTATGAACTCAGCCAGAGGCTGCTCCTAAGGAAGAATCCACTCGATGTGAGTTACAGTTTATATACCCCCCCCCCCCTCCCTTCTGTCATTAATCATGCACTCCCTCGTATGATTAATGTCACATACATTATCTATGTAAAAGTGTTAGAATTTTGCTTCATTGTAAGCATTAAACAGTGCTCACAAGTAACTAACAAACATTGATTATATTGTTTTTGGTAATATCTTTCTGACAGGTGAGTGCGATATTGCGAACGGGACTGCCCACGCGATTGGCTCTCATGGGTCTTGGGGGACTCTCAATGCTCTATGCACGCTGGAGGATCATGGGAACTGGACCACCGGCATTCACCGAAGTAGACAACCCTGCCTCTTTTGCAGAAAATATATTTCTTAGAGTGAGTATGAATTATTTATTGTTTTGTTTTTTGTGGAAGTTATTTGACGTGAGATGCAATATTCTATCTCACACACACACACACACCAAAGCTTCACATGACTGCATCATTCCTAGTATCTCTTGAAACGTTAGAAACATGTGTCGGGATCTGTGCAACAATGAATTCACTCTAATGGTCTAATCAAACATCTAATATTAGGGCTTGACCCCAAGTAATTTTTTTTTTTTATCATGAGATGCTGTGATTGACTTTGACTCTGAATTTGAAATGCTGTTTCTCCTCTCATCTTTCCCCCACACTCTCTCCCCCACCCCCTCCTGCTCCTCTTTGATTGGCAGATAGTGAACTATAATTACTACTACTCTCTGAATGCCTGGCTGCTGCTGTGTCCCTGGTGGTTGTGTTTTGATTGGTCCATGGGCTGCGTGCCTCTCATTAAGTCGGCCACTGATTGGAGGATGGCGTGGCTGCTGCTGCTCTGGTGCGTCCTGATAGGCTTGATAAGCCAAGCCTTATGCTCGCAGGACAGCCAGAGAAGGAGGTAAGCGAGCACAAGCCCAATCTCATACTCGCTGTAGACGAGACGAAGCACATGTTGGGCCTCTCCGGACCCGCTCTTGATTATGAAAATTGTACTGTGTCCACCGCAGTGTGACCGCCACGTCTCGGTTTGAGCTTTAAAAATTCTCTCTCGGTTCAGAGACGGACTGTGGTTCACGGGGAAGTTTGTTTAGGATGGGTTTTTGGAGTGGTTTGTTGTTCCATTTCTTAGCCTAAAATTCTTCAACATACAGTGACAGCCATTTTTTGATCGTTTCGGCACTCGGTGACCTCTCTCTCTTCCTTCCAGGACACTGACCTTGGGCCTGGTGCTGCTGGTGGTCCCTTTTTTGCCGGCCTGTAACATTTTTTTCAGGGTGGGCTTCGTCATCGCCGAGAGAGTGCTCTACTTGACGTCGGCTGGCTACTGCCTGCTGCTGGCCTACTCCATGGGACACTGCTGCTGCCGCTGGTCCAAATGCAGGGTAGGGGGCTAAATCGTACCACAATAAATCACACCGAAGTACACGATACCAAACCTGGTTGAACCCTCAGGCCACATCCACACCACTACCTCTCCGTCCAGACGAGCGTTTTAGTGCATCACATAACCAGTCACGTGCACCGGGCATTGGCATGCCTGTCGCAAAGCACTCGAATGACAGCTCTATTCCTGCAGTAGTAGCATTATGAAATGCAGAATTTATCTGCACAGCAGCTGCTGGCATAGAGACCAATGTCAGCAACACCTGTAATTCGCTATTCATGTTGAAAATAACCACCGGTAGTCGAGGATGATGCCGTTTGTTTTGTTCCGGAAAAGGATCATCAGGGAAGGGCACATCGTGACTACTGAGCGCCAATCATTACAAACTGGCGTGGGATGTGCACGGCACAGGACAGGAGGGCTCTCCAGTGCACAGAACATCATTGGCACCCATCTGCTGAGCATCAGTGATATTAGTGAGAAGAGCCAAGGGGATATTAAAAGACAAAACCCACCCAGTCACAACCTGTTCAGCCTGCTGCCGTAATATCAGCTGCCATTTGATCAGACTTCAAAACAGCTTCTTTCCTCTGGCTGTGAGACTCCTTAACTCATCCTCCACCCTCCATATATAACATAGTTGTTTTTTGTTTGTAGCAAATTGGGACTACAATCTAAATGTCCTTGTGCAACCCTGCCATACAATGACGAATACAAACCTTGTAACTTGAACGTGGGCGACGGCGTCATCGCTTTCAACGGTCTCCGTTTCTGTCCGTCCTGACTAAAATTCAACCCCAGGAGGTTTTTAAAACTAAAACGGCAGTGTTTACAAACGTCTCCATTTTAGGGGGCCCTGAAACGCCGGCGTAGTGTGAATGCTAGGCATCAACGCAGCAAAAGTTATGCGTTTTAAAACATTGTAGTGTGGACGTGGCCTCTGTTTCCAGCAAGCATTCCAAACCAGTGACCTTTCTCTCTCTATAAGCCACCAACTCTTTTATTCACCACCTGTTAATGCAGCTTTCATGACTCAGTGATGCATAAGAAATGACTAATGACTCACCTATGAGGGGATGATAACAGCAGGCGGCATCCACGTGTTGCATGGATATATTTTCAGGCCGTTAACTCTGAGTCACAGGTAATTGATATTTAAGCTTGAGGCTTAAGAAGATTTACAGTACATGCTTGTTAAAAATGTCTGCTTTTTTTTCTCTCTCTCTCTATTCCCCATTCCAGAAGCCACTGTGTGTGTCGTTGCTCGCGCTGTTGTGTGTGTACGTAGCTCGCTGTGCCCTCCGTAGTCATCAGTGGCGGTCGGAGAAAAGCCTCTTCACCAGCGCCCTGTCTGTCTGTCCGCTCAACGCCAAGGTGAATATCTGTGTTTCTGTGTGTCAGTAACACGTCTGCCCGCGTGTGGGAATAAACTGCAGCCGAGCAATCGAAGTGGCACTCCGATGCCTAACGTGACGATGACTGATTCCTCAGGTCCACTATAACGTCGGAAAGAACCTGGCTGACAGAGGGAACGCCACCGCTGCCATCGCATATTACAGAGAGGCGGTCAGGTATTCCTCCTCATCAGAATTAGCAAGCCAGTTGGCCTCTTGCTAGTTGAACTGTGTGCCAATATATGTTGGATGCATGTGGCCGAGTCATGTTAACTGCGTATCTCTGCGGCTCTCAGGCTTCATCCTACCTACGTCCACGCCATGAACAACTTGGGTAACATCCTGAAGGAGAGGAACGAGCTGATCGAGGCCGAGCAGCTGCTGTCTAAAGCTGTTTCTATTCAGTACGTTGCCCAACACGCAGGAACACACCTCTGACTCCAGATATCCTGAAATAGCTCACTGCTGATAGCTTTGTATTTTGTTGTTTTTTATATCTGTGCAGGCCTGACTTTGCTGCAGCTTGGATGAATCTGGGTATAGTTCAGAACAGCCTGCAGAAGTTTGAGGAAGCAGAGCAGAGCTATTGGAATGCCATCCGCTTCCGGAAAAAATACCCAGACTGCTACTATAACCTCGGACGATTGGTAAGACGGCACAAAAAAAAACAGCAAGCTTTAACAAACAGAAAAGAGGGTTCTAGTCAGTTTCTGGATGGCGATACGTTGACTCGGAAAATTTAAACCAAATTAGAAAATAGAGATATTGGTCAGTTTTTGCCATACAGAGAGAAAAGATACTTTTTTTTAAACACTATCTCTCTCTTGTCATGATAGTACGCTGACCTGAACAGAGATATAGATGCGCTGAACGCATGGAGGAATGCTACTGTGCTAAAACCTGACCACAGCCTGGCTTGGAACAACATGGTCATACTACTGGACAACACTGGTATTGACAAAATGCGCACACACACACAGATACTGTACATACACTACATACAAATCAAGTGCTAATGATTTAATACAAATAAAATAAAAATCACAACTCATGATTGGAACCTGCTTTATATCTAAAATTGATTGACAGGTCTTTCAATACACAGAGTAACACTATACACAACTTTGTTTCTTTTTTTTTTTTGTGCTACTGAAACTGTTTAGATCAGAAATATTATAATTTGTGTGATAAATAAACTATGTAATGGCATTTATCAATAATAAATCTAACAAATAATAATATTAATAATACGCTTTACCCATTTGTGAATAGATGATAATTTAAGAGTCACTTTACTTTCATAGAACTCTCTGTTCTGGAGAACAGCTTGTTCTGGCATTAAACAGCCGAGAAACACGGCGTTGTTGTTTTGGAAAGGCAGGAAATCTAAATGGCCAACAAGATTAGACCGGAAGAGCAGGAATCAGCAATGCTTGAAATTTATGTATTAAAGCTTTGTGTTGTGAGTTTTGAAGGCACTCTTCCCTGCCGTGTGGAGAATGCTCTGATTTCCAAACGCTCGGGCCGTTTTGTCAGAAGCCGCTCCTGCGGGGGGGCGGAGTCTCCCGGGAGGGCACTGGAACCGTCCAATCAGGGCCCGGTATGTTCCTGATCAAACGTGGGCAAAGCGCAGCCACCCACCGCATTTGTTCCTTAAATCTGACAGAAATAATTCCACCTCCTCTCCCCGCCAAACCAAATAAGAGAAAAGAAAGAGCAATAGGTATCATTTTTAAATAGCAAGGCATTGGGGATATTTTTTTCTCTTTAGTTATAGATCGTTACACAAACAAAAGGCAGAATCCGTGTAGATTGAAGCAGAGGTGCTCAGACAGTCACACATGTAGTCACGTGTTGGCAAGCTGTGTCTGAAGGGCACAGGCCATGACTCAGGACGTGATTGTCATTCTCTCTCTCTCTCTCTCTCTCGCTCGCTCGCTCGCTCGCTCGCTCGCCTCCCTTTCTGGCCAGACATCAGACGGGTCCTGTGACAGAGATCAATAACTCAGTGGGCCTTGTGTTCAACCTTAATTAGGAGACTAAACCGCTCCTGTGTGGAGAGGGAAAAACTATGCTCTAGACACTGCAGTCAGATTCTCTCCGTACCGGCTATTATTACAACTGTGTTTTGGTAACTGTGTATGGATGTTAACACACCGTTTTAGTAGCGTATATGTTGGCCCATGTAAAAATACATGCGAGCATCTACTTCCAACGAACGTTTTGTGTACTCGTCTGTTCTGCTTTTCGAGGTAACTTGGGTCAAGCAGAGCTGATCGGCCGAGAGGCGCTGAGGCTCCTCCCCAACGACCACACCATCATGTTTTCATTGGCTAACGTCCTGGGGAAATTACAGAAATATAAGGTCAGTCAGTGTTGAATAAACATCTCAACTCACAATATGATTTTTTGATGTTGATGCTTTTATTCCTCTGTGTCTGCTATAAAGTGAGGAGTGGAGGTGAAGATAATTGTTATTTTTCTGTCCTCAGGAGTCAGAGGGCTTCTTCCTTCATGCTCTCCGGATCAACCCAAATTCTGCTAGTTGCCATGGCAATTTAGGTAAGCTATATGGCAACTTTGGTTGCACCAGATAGTCTACACAGTCAAAAGCTAAAAGGACAATCGTGCATGCTAGCAGAAGACATAGATTTAGGACGGTTGCTGCTTCTCAGCTGGTTCAGTGTTTCTATATTCCCCCTCAGCTGTGCTGTATCATCGCTGGGGAAAGCTGGAGCTGGCAAAGAAACACTACGAGCTGTCTCTAAAGTTGGACCCTGAGGCTCCCGGGACCAGAGACAACTACAACATGCTGCGACGCAAACTGGACCAGCTTAAACACCCCACACCCTGAGGGGAGCCTATTGGGACCCCTGTGTGCCATAAAAACATTTTATTTCCCCATAGTTCCACTTGCTTTTATTTTATCTCACTAATTCTGGCTTTGTACCATTTAGAAATAAAGACCATGGTCTGTGTATCAGGCTCTAGTTTTGTTCTTTGGGGGAGGGGGGGGGCGATATGTTGGCTGTTCTTTTTTACTCTTATGAGAAACTTTTTCATGTATGAGACTGCTTGTGTATCAAGTATCTAATTTGATTTGACGGGTGTGTGTGTGTGTGTGTGTGTGTGTGTGTGTGTGTGTGTAGGTGGGTGGGTGGCAGGCAGGTGTGCTGGATGCATACGCATGGTCATCTGCGCTGTGCCGTTTTGTTGCTCCACGCGAAGGCCATGTGGAACTGATCCACGGTTGAACCCCGTCTTCTTTTCATCTCTCGGCCCGTGTTGTGTCAGCTGGGCTGAGCGCCGTGCATGTGTGGATCCAAAGGATTCTGTTGTCAAATGTGTTTGATTTGGCCCTCTTTCAGGAGTTCCAAATGTCCCCCGTGCTGGAAAAGCTTCTACAGCTTGGACCGAGAGAGCCGGTCCATTCTTGCGCGCGCGGCAGCTGGTTAGTTCTGACCACTGGCGGGCTAATGTGGTTATCTCGTTTGTTTTTTGATCGCCCTGTCTCTTTGTTCCTGAGTGGGATGGCACTCAGAGGTTAAAAAAAAATCCCTCCCTGCTCTTGAGGCCTCTGTAGTTAATGGGAGAAAGGTGTTTGTCCTGGGAAGTTTTTCTGAAGTGTCCAGGAGGGGGGGGGGGGGGGGTCAGCTGAGACAGGAAACCCACGGCCGGTGCTGTATGAAAACAGCTCTATAGCACAGAGCCTTCAAAGGGTAGAAGGGGATGATCTCCCCGGGGATTACTCGTGCACGCACACACACACCATGTGCACAGGCCTGCTCGTCTTGAAGAATGCCGCAGAAGGGAAAAGGCGACCCCGGCGCGAAACATCAGTCAACAAGTGTGCACCCCGAGGTCAAAGTTCAACGCACTTCTATTTTTTCACCTGCTTCCTGCGGCTCGCGGGGAACTTTTGAAGCTGCGGCGGGGCTGGTATGGCTTTGCTTTCGGGGGGCCTGCTAAGTTTGTTTACACATACAGTACAATACGTCGGTCGACGCTTTGATGCTGGGAAGATGTTACCGGTGTGTGTGTGTGTGTGTGTGTGTGTGTGTGTGTGTGAGTGAGAGAGAGAGAGAGAGACCTCCCTAAATATGCAACTAATTTCACGTGATGAGAGTTCCTTGTTGCTCAACTCATTTTTGTTTCGCCGCTTTGATGTAAAGACTCTCAAACCACAACAAACAGCCTACATGTACAGCACACTCAAAGTATTGTTTGAAACCCGCTTCCACCAGAGTGGTGTAAAGGTCAGCGTGGTGAAAGGGCTTCATGCTATGGAGCCAATGCAGACAGAATAAGATTAAAAAAAAGCTTCGGATAGTGACATTCAAGACTGAAAAGCTTTGTCCCCCCCACCTCATATTATTTCTCTTCATGCGGCGTGACACGCAGCGCGGTGCGATGTACGGCCCCGGCTGCAAAACCACCAGCTATTTGCTTTATGTACTTATGGATTCCCTTCTTTACTTTCCGTGTGATCCCTTCCATTGGGCGCCTGCAGCCGGCTGTCTAGCTGCACAGCTGTGCTGGCGCATCAGTGGGGGAGCTCCACTTTTATCATAATCATACTTTGAATACCTTTCATTATCATAAAATATGTGAGTATTAAAGGGATGGATTCCCCGGCCCCGCCAACATCTTCATTATCCATTCTGACTGACAAAAACCTGCTGTCCTAGGGAGTGACATTAATAAAAGATGGGATGGCGCAGCCTTGTGAAGTCCTCCCCTTGTTCTCCGGGCCTTTTTCACTGTACACCTTTTACCTGCTTGGATGCTCCGTCACAATGATACAATGGAATCGACTCCCAGGAGGGGTGGGGGAGTGTTCTATTAATCACACTGATGAGTTTTTGATCACAGTAATCAATGGATTCTGATTGTTCACAGCCCAAATCTGTAATACTAGATTCAACAAAACTCGTTATGAAATAAAACGTTGTCATCCCTTTGTTGCAGCGGCATATTCGACGGAAGAACAAGAAGCAGGGGAGCACTAATTTGAACCCAGCCAGGGTGTTTTGGAACAGCGGGTGTGCTATTTTGCATCTGATGAGCACCAACAGCCAATCCCACCAACACCCCCCCCCATAACAAAATATAGAAACACAGGGCTCATCCAAACTGCTACAACAAAACAAGGTGGTCGCCTTGAAAGTGAGTGACTGGGATTGCAAGAAAAAGTCCCTTTTTTTTTTATATACAGTATATATTTGTAATATTAGCTCTATTGTTGCTGTAACATGAGTCGCTTTATTTTATTTTGTGGGTTTTTTTGGTGAAGGGACTGGAAGCGGACGTGGCAGCTCGAAAGCGCAACCGTACGTCTGCAAGAGCGGCTCTGACAGAGCTCTCATCAATGTGACAGGATGTGATCAAGGGCAGCCCTGTGATGTGTCCACTGGGCCTCTGCGCGGGCCCTCACTGTCCTTCCCTCCCTCCTCCGCCCCCACCCCCCCCAACCACAACAGTCCTAATGGGCTCTGATGGGCACCTCCATCTTGCCTGTCTAATTGATGTAAATACTACTGCGCATTCATACCCGCAGTCCTTCCCACCATCCCGGCCTGCCCCTCCCTCTGTTTCTTACTAACAGTAGGGGTCAGAGGTTAGGCTGACTGAGTGATCATTAGAATGGCAGCCCTTATTAGAGGAGCAGCTTGTCTGACACCCCGTCCACGTCCCGGAGAGGGACCCACCCTGTCCGCTTCATCTAGATCATATTACATGACACGACCTCAGAATGGATACTACCAGCGCGCCTACGACACCGTGGGCCGCTCGGGCACGGTGGCATTTTCCGGGATAGGGGTCCCCCCCCCCCCCCCCCTCGCCTGTCAGTTCTTCCCTGACAGCCCCTCTGTCCGTCTGGCTTGGATGCACTCTGTCATTTTAAGGAGGGCTACTGTCGGCGGGCATCGGGACCGTTGTGTCTACATGCCCTGGCATTTTCAGCGGCGTTTCCCTGCGACGGAGCATCCAGCCACCCTCTTGAGAGTCTGCGATGTCGCGGCCAATGATTAATAGTTAGAGATGGGCAATAAAACGTCCGGTGTGGCCAGATGCTAGCCAGGGCTTTGGTGAGCTGATATAATGGACATAGTCTGCCAATTTGGCTCCCTTACAAAGCCTGGAAGTTCCCCAAGATTGATTCAGTTTCTATGTAGCGGTGCCCTGGGGGCCGAATGTTGAGGATGCGCTCTTGTGAAAAATGTTGTGGTGTATTACGTTCAGCTGAGAAAAGCACTAAATGCTCATGGTTATGACAAAAAGATATACTTGCGGATGTTTGCATGCAACAGTGGAATTTCAAGTCGATTTATGATCGTTTTTATAATTTTTTAAGTCGAAGAAAAGCTCTGCGGTCGTGGATGGAGAAAGGGGGGGTGGCTGAGATCATTTGCAGCAGGAGCCTTCCCAGGCTTGTTTTGCAAAACAACACGAAGCAGCTAGACCTTTATTGAAAAATAAAGTGCAGTGAGATGGAAATTTATTAACTGACACCAGTTAATGTGTGCATTATTCATTTCTGGCGAGCATGAAAAATGATCTAAAGAGGTTTGAAATTGCAGACGCGCAGGCTGACTGCACAATGGCTGGGCTCGCCGGTTCGTTTCATCCTCTGGCAGGGGGGGGGGGCATGAGGATGTGAGGACGGGAGGGGAGGAGTGCGCGAGCCCCTTCTCTGGACAGTAGGGCTTTTCCAGTAACAGCTGTGCTTCTCTCACGAGGGGGCGGCAGCAGCACTGGGAGAGAGGCTGCTTGGGACAGATGGACCGGCCCGGCACCACCTCCCCTCGCTCACCTCCCACCACAGCTTCTCTTATTAAAAATACATCTCCACCACTATGACTGTGTGAGTGCGTGCTAACTGTATTTAAAGTTTTGCCAGTGCTCTGATGCTGCTCTTCTAAGGCGGTGAGTTTATGGCGGTGTTTCATTTTTCTTTTCAGTTTTGTTCTCCTGCTTGACCTCTTGCTTTTTGAACCCTCTCCTCCAGACTTTCTTCCAGTCCTCGTCCTCTCCACCACTGCTGCAGTCAGAGGTGGTGGGCATGGCAGTCAGTGCCAGTGGCATATGGCGTTACATCCATACAAAAGACAGGCCCATCAGTCATGGCTGTGGCCGGACGAGGGGAGAGAGCAGGCCTCTGATGAATGGTGTTTAGGACTTACCTGCTGTTAAAACATTACCTCCCAAACACCAGCTCCCTGAAGCACGCACAGCATTAAGAGCCGTGTAATGCAGTGAAACGCGGCCCTTGTGTGCACACGTCATGTACGCCATGTTATAGCAAATAATAAATATGCTTCCTTAAAACCCCTTGCACAGAACCCCAGGTCAGGCCTTCATAGACCAATTAATGCAGAGCATCTGCTGTATGGAGGGAGCATGCTTAAAGAACGTCCCAGCCATTTTTTAGGCCGTTTTAATAAGGAGAGCTGCTTCCTGCCTGCTCCAATGGCTCTTATTGCTAGAGTAAGCATGGAATGGGTCTCCTCGATTAGACCAAATTAATCCATTCTTCTGGGATTCTTTTTTTCTGGTTCTATGGCAAAAAGCGGCGCGCCTTTGTTCTTCCTTGGGCCCCGGCGTTTTTTCTGCCAAATTTAACAGAAGGCTTGGAGGGTAACAGGGGTCCAACCCAGTATCACCTTCTGGAGCGGAGCAACTAGCAGAGAAAGACAATCAGCCTGAACCCTGCTGTCTCCAGCACAAAGTGAAAAGACTCTAATTGGGCTTTTTTTACGCTGCATTTTCCTGCAGGATTGCTGGATCATGAAAAAGCAATTAAACCTCAGAGCTGCAATTCGTTCTCATTTATATCCTTTCATCGGAAATAGACAAATTTCAAATCACTTATGTGAGTCAAGACTTTTGCTTTTTGTGATTTTTATTTTTTTTTTTCATTCTTTTTTTTTTTTTAATGTGGGACAGACCAGCTGTCGACTTAAAGGGTCGTATCACA